AGATTTATATGGAAATTATTTTTTAATTTTAAAAAATATTAAAATTATTTTTTAAATTTAATTTTAAAAATAAGTGAAAATTAAAATAATCCCACGTCACTTTTTTCCTCTTTTCTTTGGTTGCGTCAAAGGGCATTTTTCAGATCTTAATCCAAAGCAGAAAATACAGAGAAAAATGAACCTAGATTAGATGGGAACACAAACAAGGTTGGAATTTGGAAAACTTTTCCAAAAGAGAAACACGGAAAGGCAGGTGGGGGGGAATGAGGCTTTGAAGACTCCGAGCTATTCCCTTGTTCTCACACTGTTCTTTTTTCATCGCTCTTTTTTGGTAGTCTTCCACTAAGTCTTTCTTTTATTTTTTTCAATTTTTAACGCTTTTTTCTTTTTTCAAATTGTAAACTTTCTTTTTAATGTTATAGTATTGATGACTTTACTGTAATACCCTTGCACTCTTGTATCATTTTGCATATATTCATTTCACTTCCATATAACCAACACCTTCCAAGAAATATCCAGCTAGCTAAATCACTTTTATAAGTTTGCTCTTCTCCTTTGCCGGCTCATCTTTTCTTATTATCACGATTCAATTTGGCTTTCCATTGTGGGAGTAGTTCTGCTTCTGCTTCTAATCTGCTTGGCGTAACTAATTTGATTATCGGTGGCTACTTTCTTCAATTTGATCTTCTATTGAATTTGCAGGTATCTTAAATCTTTGGCCATGATTTTATGCGCTTATGTTATTGTTAAACTACATATTAAATGAAAGATTTTTAAATTTTTTTCAGATGCATGACCTTATCTTCAATATCCTTTATTAAATTCTTTATTTTCAAATTATTTTTCAAGTAAATTATTAGATTTTTTTGTATTCAGATTTATTTTTACTAAATCAATTTAAATCATGTTCTACTTTCAGGAAATACTCTTCAAACCCTGTGATTGCTGAGAAATAGGCTTGCGATTAAGCAAATCTGCTGCTACTAGTAATTTGCTTGGTTTAATTTGGTAATCCTCAGTAATTTCTTCAATTTCATCTGTTAAACTAAAAGGTATACTATTTATTATCTAGATCTTTTTTTTTTTTTATAGAAATCTATTATCTAGATCTTAAATCTTGATTTTTTTTTTTATGTGGAAAAAGAAAAAAAGAGAGAAAAGAATTAATAGATACAAATCATTAGCATATCAACCTTAAGTTTTTTATTCTTTTAAGTTTTTGTTGAAGCATATATGATGAAAAAAATAGGACATTAATGTATCAATGGATACAAATTATTAGCATGTCAATTTCTGTCTAAGTAATTCACTTTTTTATTGTTTATAATGTTAAAGTGTAATTTTGTTATAACTAAGATAGCTGAAATTTTGAACTAAATTAATGTCTTTTTCTTTAATTAATTCATTTTTTTCTTTCGTTAATTCAGTTAAATTGATATTTTTTACATAGTTTTATATTTTTTATAATAAGATAATTAATTAAAATAAATAAATAAA